ATTGGACTGAACAGAAAGAGCAGTACTAACTAAATAGCTTGAAAATGGCATCATAGCCGAAACGTATCCACCGTGGAGAAAAATGAAGATAAATGTGGTAAAAAATATAGCCTTTCTTTATATAGTAACATATAATTTCACCTAAGGTATAAAAATACATGAATAAAATTATAACTTTTACAAATGGCAAAAATCTTAATATGTATAAAATGGTTACAGAAAATTAAATAGAAATACTAAAGCATTTCTATTAATAAAACATCAATATGCCACTAGTGATTCATCTGGCATTTTTTTTCTAACTCCATCAATTAATCAATTTTTTTTTTTCGTATACCCTTATCTTCTTGAGCTGCCTAGGCCATGTGACGTCTAGCAGAACAGTAAATTACATCGTCAGTAATACAACTCAGTAATATACAATTTACAACTACTACATTACTCGGTAATCCCTAAACTCCCCCTCCTTCCTCAACTTCCTTAATAATTCCAAACCCTCTAAATAAACACAAATCAAAAACATTCCCAATCTATCACCCCCCATATTTAACATTTCTCACTCAAATAAACATTACTATGAATCATATAATTACTAAATATCCATACATAAATACCCAACCACCCCTTACTCTAAACCAAAACCACCCAAAATCAACAATCCCTAAACTAATTCAAATCCTTAACTCACACTATTCCCAACAAAAAATACAAAACCAAATACAACCACTACCCCCCCACCCTAACCAAAATCACCCCTCACACCCACCAACACACACAAACCACACCAAAAAAAACCATAAACAACCCACCAACCCCACCTCCCACCATACCACACCACCATACAATCCAAACAACCCCAAACTTTCATACTCATAAAACCCACAATCTACACTCTATCGATTATATATTAACTCTACTTCTCATCCTTACAACCCTTCAACAACTATTAATCTCACACCCACCAATTCATCACATCCCAAAAAAAAATCACCACTATCTAACTCCAACCATACACCATTCACATCTATCAATCCCATCCCCCCCACATACCCCAACCCCCTCCAACAAAAAAAACCCACCAAAAACAAAATACAATACACAAATAAATACTCCCCTTATCTTCCCCCCACACTTCAACTTTACACTTTTCAATCCCCTCTCTCTCTCTCCCTCCCACCACCTCCCCCCACACACACCACCACCCCACCCCCCTCCTCAACCACAACATTATACACAACCCAAACAACACAAAAAATACAAAATTAAAAACTCAATAACCATAAAATCAATCACCTAACTCATAAACCAAACAACACCTATCAAATTTACTCCCCCAACACCACCAATATAAAACATCAACCCACCACAATACACCTAAATACAACAACCCTATTCCCCCCACTAACCTTCATTAAAATCACCAACACAACAAACAACACAAAACAACCACAATTAACCTTACTATCCAAAAAAAACCCATTCCACCCCCAATTCCAAACAACATCCCCATCCCCTAACAAAAATCACCTTTTAATTACTCTAACCACCTAACATAACCAATATACAATATAAACACCCCTCATTATCCTATAACCCACCCCAAAATCACACATACTCAACCCCAACCCCCCACATAATTACTATATAAATCAAAAACGAAAAAAAATCAAAACCATAATACACAATAAATCAAACAACTTAACATCCCCTAAACCAAAATAACTACCACAATAATTACAAAAAAAACTTAAATAAATAATATACCTCACCACATCCACCACAAATCCAAAAAATATTCCACAAAAAAAAAAACCCACCCCCCAAAATCCCCCACCCCCAACTTATTTATCTTAATCTACCTCATATCAATCCCAAATCAACAAGGCGAGATTAATAAATCTAAATCTAAATTATAAATTATAGTTCATTATAAAGAGGTTGAATTTCTAAATATTTCCCTCGGTTAAGGTATGTAGGTCCGATTTTCAGTTTCTAAAATATTCTTAATATTTTAATTCGCATCTACAGTAAAACTCGTTATCATTTGGTTTCCGGCACTACTTTTTTCTTTTCTCTCCCCAACACGGCGTCGCGTTAGCATAACAGTTTGATTTATAGCCCATAACAGAGAAGATGAAATGTTGAACACTTCAATTAGTCTACTACAGCCGACTTTACCCGAGCGTTACACATCTGAAATTTGAAGGCTCAATCTAATTCACTCCCCACAAAAAATCGAAAAACGTGCCTAAAGAAGTTTTCATAGATGATGTTCGTCATAGATGCTCCTCTTCTTAGCTGAGAAGAACCAATCAATCAACTATAATGCTTAAATTTCAAGAGAATAAACTTTACATTTAAAAAAAATTAAAAGTAGTATATACGAATATACCCATACATTTAAATTGTATTTAACATAGTTTTCGGTGCAGAGTACTAAAATTAAAAAGAAGTATTTCTTTTCAATATTTTCAATTTCAAGAGCTCACCAACATTAATTATCACCATAACATTCAATTTAAATAATGAAACAAAATTAAAACAAATATAATTCAGTTTAACTCATTTATCAGATTGATTCCAGTGAAGCATTGAATCTGTTTTCGGTTTGTAGCTATAAATATTCATATTGGACCAATTTGAAGAGGGGCCGTAAATTCGCCAATCAGCTCTCTCTATCACAAATAAGGACTATAATGGGTTCGGCTAATTTCGAAACAAATGGACTGTGTTTCGAAGCTGCATCCTCAATATCAACCTTGGTAGCAGTGGGTCTCTTTCATTTTGTAAATTGGCTGGAATTGGCTGTATTTTTTTTATCAAAATCGGTTAGTTTATTGAAAGAAAGAAAGAAATTAAATTTTACTATGGGAAATTTAGTCCCCTCAGAATAACTATAATGAACAATGGAACTACAAACGTCTGGCGATAATGAATAATTAAATGACAATTAAAAATAAATTAATTTACAAAGTGGTCCAACGTTAATATTAAAATAAAGAAAAGCTACGATAGTAAATATATGATCTTGATGTAGACATATGAATTTAAATATGAGTACATACGAGAGAGTTCGCGTATTTTTACAAATAAGCAATATGGCACATACATAGATATCTGCAAGATATCGGTATAATGTAGCTGACATCTCTAAATTAGAAAATAATTTTATTTTTGCATATATTTGGAAGATTCATTACTGAGGAGATGGAAAAATAAATTGTGCTCAAATGAGTTAAAAGATGAGGATTTTCGTATAGAGGTTGTTAGGGGATCCCGAAACGAAGTAGCACGTATGACGAAGGATTTTTTAAAGGAAACAGTTCTATGATAAGGAATAAACAAATTTGAGGATTGGGATCTCGCATTGGACGAATGAACAGAGGAAGAAAGAGTAGAAATCAAGTAGGTAAGAAGGTTTGGAAAAGGAATGATGAACACCTAGGAACTATTGGCTTCGGAAAACTTAATTTAGCCACTTCAACTCGGCATAGCAACTGGAGACTTGGGAGCGCCTGGGGAATCCAAGGATAAATCTAATAAAACTATTAATTTAATCTAATCTCAATCCCACTAGAGAGTCCACCGTATACAAGACAGCTATAATCAAAGTGAGGGAAAATGTGAGAGGGAACTAGAAGCTGACGGATTTTAAGGGGCATACAGTCACGAAATCTCAGGAACTGTTTTAGGGTAGCAATGAACTTTCGGATAATTTGAGAAATATGATTATTCCAAGACAGATGTTGATTGATGAAATATTACCCCAAGGTTTCTTACGGAAATGTGAAAACCTATGGGTACCCCATTGAGATAGAGTAAAGGACAATAAGAAATTAGGCTAATCCGATGCTTTTAACCAATGGGAATAGCTTTGGTCTTCTGGACATTCAATTTTAAATCATTATTCGCTGCCCAGGTATTAATACTGTCGATATCTTCGATATGTAGCTTTGTTTATGCAGAGAAGCAATTATATAATACCAACGGCTTTGGATAAACAGTTTGTTGAATATAATTGATCAATGATTTTAGTGTTAGCATTCCCGATAAGCTTGTCCTTAACGCTCACCATTCACTGTTATTGATATGGCAATAACTGTGTAAACTGTTTTTGTTTATAAAATCTAATAAAATATATTTTTCAATCGTCAAGTCAAATAATCTTGTTCCTTTAATATTTTATTTTTCATTTCTACCGAAAAGACACAAAATATTTTCTTAACGAAGAAAAGGGCAAATAAACCAAGAATCCTACGTAACTAAAAATATACATAACTTATCCTTGTGACAATGAAAATCCACAAATTTACTGAAAATCTGCCAATAAAATAAAAAATATAAAAACATATTTTTATTTATTTAACTAGGCCATCAGTAGAAAAATAAAAGTTCTCGTCCTTCCTAGTTACATATTATGTCATTTCTCTATCAATATTACAAAACAGTGAGGGCAAAATGTAACAGACAAGAGACATCTAGCTGAAACAAACTATAATGACTATAACAAAAATGAATAAAGTTAAATTTAATACAGTTTTTTTCATGGGTGTTAAATCAAAATTAAAAAGTGAATAAAGTGTGTAACTTTTTATAAGGTATTAGTGTTCTTGATGAACAATATTCAGTTGGATGCTAGTGACGTTCGAAAATAATTCAACGGATGATATTGTAATGGATCTTGTCAACTTTTAACGTTATTACTTAAAATAATTTCATCAATCTGTAAACATAATTAATAAGTTATAGATACTTAGATTCTTACTGCTATTATTGTTGAGCTATATCAGGTCATTTTCAGATTTAATGTCCATAATTCAATACAATTTTTAAAAAACAAGTGTAGAAATCTCATGACGTGTGGGCATTTAAATGCCGTTCCATGATTTACATAGCGGAATATTCACGAGAAAGAGTTTTTAGGTTGGAATAGTTTAGCCTTATCAACGCGAAGATATAAAGTGTTCTTAGTTCAGTCGAAGACTAGTTACTTAACCAATATGCGCTGTCTAGTGTTAATGTTGCTGATATTAGCAAAAACTCGAGGACAGAACTCCACGCCCTCAGCTATACCATCCACTTCGGGGCCTTCTTCCATTACCACTGAACTTCCTATAGTGACAACTGAATTTTCATCTACAGAGACTTCATCATTTTCGATTGGGGTTAGCACTACAACGTCCCCGACTACGATGAGCACTACAATGTCCACGACTACAATGAGTGCTACAACTTTTCCAACTACGGTGAGTACTACATCTTCGACGACACCATCTTCAATAAACACAGTTCCGACTACCCCACTGCTTAACACACTACTGCAAGATTTTCAGACCCAAGAGCAATCCTTCCAAAATTTGGGACAAAACATAGGCCAAGACGTCAAATCGCAAGATCAACAATTCAAGAACATTGGTCAACAAATAGCGCAAGAGGTCCAATCTGAGGATCAAGCGTACCTCAATGTCGGAGAGCAGGTAGCACAGCAAGTGAAGGCGCAGGAACAGCAGATCCAGAATGTCGGCAGCCAATTGGTCCAGGATGCCATGGCTGAGGAACAAACACTACAGCATGTCAACCAAGAGGTGTCCCAAGAAGTCCAGTCTCAGGAGCAGGCTTACCAAAACTATCAAAATGCCAAAAACCAGGCTGAACAAAAACTGCAACAGAAGGCCCCATTGATACCGAGTAGCCAGTTCCCTAGTAGCTACCTACCACCTACGCTCTTCGGAGTACCCTCTACGGCTTTGGGGGGACTCAGCCTTTTAGGATCCAGTCCACAGCTTCAATCTCTTTGGCAAATGGCTGCGTCTCGAGGAATACCGGTGCTCAGTGGTCTAAGTCTAGGACTCTGATGATCGTTCTATCGAATTTACCCTGTGAATTTTCAATTATCGTTTGTGTTTTTGTACCAGAAGTTTTTTAACTTGTAAACATGGTTTAGTATTGATTCAGGAAAAAAAAAATCCTCGCCAAATTTTAACGGGTTGCGAAAGTGCGTTGCACAAAAACGTACATGATTACTATATGAATATAATGATAAGCTTGTATTATTTTTTTTAAGACTGGTTGTATATATAATAAATTATATATAATATGTTTCTAATAATTATGTTCCTTTATCAAAATAATATATCCCATATATAAAAAAATAAATAAATGCTATCTATTGAAAATAAATTTCAAAACTGATTGATCGATCATTATATGTTACATATATATGTCATCTTACTACATTTTAGGACATGATATTCATATTATTAAATTAAATATGGTTCAAGAAAAAATAAATAAAAATTATAATAATGAGTATTTTCTTTTGAACTTCAGTCAGACAGAGAATAAATTGAAAAAATTTCATCTTCAAATTATCTCTTTTGTTATTTAGAAAACAAAATTGAATTAGCTACTTGAATATTGTTTATTTCTAAAAAATTAAATCTAAATTAATTAGGATACATTGATTTATTTATTTTTTACGGAATTAGAATTATTTAGATATGTTAAATATAATTAAGGAATAATTTATAATATATGAAAACAGTATATTGTGTGATATGCTTTTTAATGAAAAAAATAATGGTTTGGTTGAAAAAGTTAAAAGTATGAATTATAATTTTTCTTTTATATTTTAATTGTACCTATGAAGTAAATTTATCCTCGTATGAGGAAACATACATAATATATAGTGGATAGAGGATGGATATAGTCCATAGGCCGCACGCTTACAGCCATCAAAGCTACAGTAATGATGAGATTCCTTCCTTCAGGCTAATCCACACTGAGCAGATTACCCAAGGCTATTACTACCCATAATAGCCCAATAACTGTTATAAAGCCCTTCTCTATGATCCTAGTTTATTATAGTATACAAAAATATACAGTATTTTATAAAGTTCTGTAGGTACTTAGGGATCATTATTATTTTTATCTAAATATATGATTTTATTATTATTAAGGTATATAGCTTACATTAATTTGAATAGATGGATTAAATCAACATTTAAATATCTTAATATACTTATATTATATTAATATTAATATTAATATAGTTATAATGAATATATTCTATTAGATAATCATAAATAATTCATCATTTAATTGAGTAGCATCTCAATTATCGTTGAAACTAAAAATTAATATTTAATTATATTTATCAATTGATTTATTATTTGACCGTTTTTCTACTTCACCGACCTACATGTAGTGAACCTTAAATCATGTCCCACTTTGTTAAAGGTAAGATCGCTTAATTCATCAAAATCATATATAAATGTAAATATACTTTTGAAAATACTAATTCCATATATGTCAGTCAGAGTAAGAAATAATACGTGAGTAAGAAAATAAAAAAAATGTTATAGGAACCATCCTTTAAAAATTAAAAGCATTCTCAATTTTAAATGTAATTAAAACTATGATTTACTATTTGATAACTTCGAACAGTGGGTTGTTTGAGTGATTTAATTGATGATTAAATATCGGATCTGAAATTATTAATTTTAAAGATAAGGCTTCTTTATCTTTACGGTGTTTTTTATTATATATATTTATATTTTATTTTTATAACGAGAAACTTTACGAAATAGCAGTCCACACTGACCTGTGTGGAAATTAAAAAGAATCAGACCTTAATAACTATTCGGATTTTTTTCATATATTTTTCATCACTAGCAGATTCAGGCTTTAATTTTGGGGGGCTTCAGTCCAAAATTTTTTTTTCATATACATATAACGATAATTAATTTTAAAAAAAAGAAAGAAATTAACTACCTATATGAAATGGTGTTTAAGTGGTTCTTGAAGTAATATTAAATGTAATTACACGAACAAGAATACTTTAAGAGATAGTTTTTAATATTTTGTTCTGTAAAACATAGTCATATTTTATCATTTTGGTGGGCTTCAGCCCGAAAGCGCCCCCCCCCCCCTAGATCCGCCTGTGTTTTACATGCATAATTACGCCCTAATGAATTTTTGAAAAAATACTTAAGCTGAAGAAAAGAAAATTAATATTAAGTTTACACATGAATGAATCAATCATATTTTTTTTTTACAAAGTGTACAAAATGTATTATTGTGATATTTGAGGAAGTGTTTAATTTGTTAGATTAGGTCTTGCGAGGCTTTAGATCATTTGTATTCAATAACTATCTTTCAAAATGTGTGTTATGTAGAAATATGTGTGTTTTGAAAAATTATTCATATTTACTTCAAAGAACTAATACTTGAGATTGTTGTAAAATATCGGCGAAACGTTTTCAAACCGTAGGCATAAGTCAAAATATATAATGAATACTGAATTAAAACATTATAGTACATTATTAATTTCCATTAAAGACTCTAAAGAGAAGAAATACTCAACTCAAATATACTCAAACACCAAATCTACATTCGCTAGCATCACAATGTGTGCTTCAAGAGGAGGATCGGTAGCTGTAGATGGATTACTTTCCTTCTTATGGAATAACATTGCTCCAATGAACTAAACTGTTTCGTTTTGTGTATGTGGCCTACAAGGGACTAAGCCAAAAAAGATCTTGTATGGAAAAAGGAAAATAATTCTCCATCGGTGGGTGCAAAGTTCAGTAGAACGGTAAATATAAATATTCTGGTATTTTTCTTCTTTTCGTGTTATAAACAACGTATCTTAATTTTTTGTAGATTGGTTGCTTATACTGAAATTATAAAGGTAATGGTAAGGTGTAATTATCCCTAATTATTTCAAATTTTATCGGTTATTGAGAAGTTGTGAAGCAAATATCAGTTCTAGTTATTGATGACAAACTTTGAGTTAATTTCTGAAAATGTGACTATGATTAAACAATGTGTCCTCAGCTACTGGTTTCAGTTAATTATCTCTCATCATTAACCTATTCTCTTACGTTAGCATCAATTACCAAAAAAAAAAGATTATTTCATCGAAATACGCAATACGCGAGAACTGATAATATAAATACTAAACGGCAAAAACATTTAGAATATTCATATTGCTTTATCTAGCCTGGCAACCTTGGCTTAGATTTGCTTAAAAAGAATGAATTTTTCGTTATCAATCAGTGCGTCGAATGTACGAAAGATGGCTGTAAAGCAAAAGCCTCCTCTGAATGGTCTGTTGTTACTCCTGGTAGTGGTTATCCTCGTGATCGTGGCGGCTGTTCGGGTCAATGTCGAGCAGCGGGACGAAGACAACTGAGTAGCCAATGATCAATTATTGAACTTGGCGAATAGAGCGCCATCGAATGTGCCAAGACCAACACAGTCTTTCCTATCGAATGCAGTTTCGAAGTTAATAAAATAAGAATTTTTCTTTACGAGACCATGTTCGAAAAACATTGGTTCATTAATTATTTTTCTTTTTTGATTTATTATTTCCATGGCAGCTGTGAAAAGTGTTAAGTGCAATTTTGAGAATTTCACCAGAACGCTAATTTTCTCTCCATTTTGTGTCTAAAGTGCTAAGTTATACTGCAATTATAAGTATGAACATTCCTTTGTGAATAATTGGTGGAAACTCCAAAATTACACCGGTGAAAATTTCAAGCTTTCAATCGCATTTTTCCTTTAATATGATTTTCGCACTTACACTATGAACAGGTTCCATACATTTTTTAAAGCATATTTGTATCCAATTTTTAATTATTTTTGCATTATTATATGAATTTGTGTTATGTAATTATGATGTAACTTGTGGCTTTATAAACGATTATACCACCAAATTATGTATATATGTATTATAAATTATTGTAATTTTTATTATATTGTTGTTTAATAAATCCATGATTTAAGACTTTTTTATTCCTACTTATTTATTTTTTGACATTTTATGAATATACTTACTTTAGAAGGGATCATGCAAATAACATTTACAAAAGATTAGAACAATATTAAGGAGCTAAAAATAATTAAATGCAGTTCGGTACTTACTTAAATTATAAATGTTTCAATTTAAAAGTGTTTTTTTATTCTTAATTGTAAACAGATTTAACCATGCTGACATTATTGATGTAATATATACTTAAGTTAGCATTATTTTCAATTACCATCAAGCCAAAGGACCGATCCGTTATATTAAAGTCTCTTTCTCTGAATAATGCAACCTTATTTTTTAAATTTTACTACTTTGTAATCCACGACAGTCTTGAAACATTATTGTTAATGTCGAGAATGTTTATATAAACATTAGAAAGATTAGTACAATTTAAAATTGTTGTAAAATAGGATTCTTCTACGATTTTTTTTTTTTTGATAATTTAATTTAACATAACTTACTTCATAATATATTTTTATTTTCTATTATGTGTTACTTTTATTTTATTAAATGACAAAATATCATATTTTCGATCGTCATCATGCTCAAAAATAAAGTTCCGCCCAATTAACTTAAGCCCAGATGATATTGTATGGTATGTAACAATGAGGTGGTGTGTAAGAATCGATTTGGCTTGTAAAAGTAGGAGTTCTGCTCACTAACGGATGTACTAACGTTGAGTTTAAGGAAAATCCTGAGAAGTTATGAATACTTCAGTTATAGGCTAGAAAAATAATTATTTAAGAAAATCAACTATTAAATTTAGATATTTTTGACTTCTATAAAAAATCGTATTTAACAGTTTCAAAGGACACTAAAAACGAATCTAATTTGCTTTTTCATAACAAGAATTTCTTTGGCCTACTTACTGGAAGCGGTTTGTGTAATTTATGATACTTTATACCTTATTTAATCAAATAATCCATATTTTTTCTCATTCCGCACAAAAAAAGAAATAGATTGATATATAATACCCTAAAAGCGGAAGCAAATAAATTTCAACGAACGCCGGCTTAAGTGTCCAATATTTTTTTATGTAGTGTC